CTTCCTGTTGGGGGTTGGGCTCGTGACTCATTTGAGCTCTTTCAAGTTGATGATATTTAGGATATCAATCCCTAATGCCCATCCCTAGGGAAGTATGTAGCTGTGCTTCCTCTTTTTGTCTTGGTCTTTAGGTGTGGCCCATATGTCTGTCTCTTCCAAGTTGCAAAGTCACCTTGTCTTCCATCTTGTCTCCTTTAGGGCCTGGCCCTGTCTGACTGCCTATAATATTTCTGTCTAACTCGGCTGTCTGCAACATTCCCCCCTCTGAAGAAGTAACCCAAACTGCAGTGAGGGAACTATGGGCAACGACCACTCTGGCTTCTTCAAGCTGAAACAGGTCGTAGTTGTTGACTGGCAGTCAGATATATTCTTTAGAGGTTTTATGTAAAGGCCCTCAATAGACACCACACATTTTCATTGCAGCTTTGAATCTGAAGACAAAGGCAAAGAAACTATTAAACATACATTGGCCAAATAAAAACACTAGTCAGAACATTTTTTAGGTCCATTAGCAGAGATCTCTTAAATGTAAAATCACTTTTAAAAGACTATTGTGTGGGGCTGGGGAGATAGCTCAGTAGAATAAGCACCTGCCTGGCAAGCACAAGGTCCTGAGTTCAATCCCCAGTACCAGAAAAAAAAAAAAAAAAGAATATTGTGGTTTTCTTCAGTGTTGGTGAAAATGTTTGTTTTCCTCTGTTTTTGTTACTTTAGTTATCATGCCAGGTTCTGAAAAGATCAAGAGAATACTTGAAGTCCTGAGAGCTGACGTCATCCAGGGCCTAGGAGTTCAGCTTTTGGAGCAGGTGTATGAGCTTTTAGAAGAGGAGGATGAAACAGAGAGAGAGGTGAGTGTCTTAATAGTGTGCTGTTCATTATAGAACTTTTTAGCATCTTTTCAAAGTATAATTCATATACCATACAATATGCCCATTTAATATGGATGTATCAGTAGTTTTTAATGTTCATGGAGTTATACAACCATCAGCACAATGTTAGAACATGTCCACTAACCTCCCTGTACCTGTAGGCATTCATTCTCCATTGTGTCCTAAATTGTCCATCCCTAAACAGTGTTGTTTCCTGCCCTCTATAGATTTGCCTGTTTTGCACATTTCTTTACAGGGTCTTTAAAGAAAATGTGTTTTTTTGTTTTTGCTTCTTTTGACTCAGCATAATGTTTTCAGGGCTCATGCATATTGTAGCTTGTATCCATACTTTAGTCCTTTATGTGGCCAAATAATACTTTATTGTACAGATTTTGTTTATTCATCGACTGTGGACATTTGAGGGGCTTTTCCTTTTTGGCATGAACAACGCTGCTGTGAACACTTGTGGAAGTTTTTGTGAGGTTTCACTTGTATGGATATATATCTAGGAGTGGAATTGCTGGGTCACTTAGTAACTTTACATTTAAACATTTGATGAAATTTCAGACTTTTGCAAAGCAGTTATATTATTTTATATTACTGTCAGCAGTGCAAACAGTTCTACATTCTAATTTCAAATGATTTGTTTGTATTTCTGTGATGGTGACTTTTGTTTTTAATTGTATTTGTGTGGTATGTTACATTAATTGATTTTTGGTGGCCAGCCTTACATTTCTGAGATAATTCCCATTTGGCCGTGAGGTATGCTCCTTATGTTTTGCCAGACTCAGGTTGTCAGGATTTTGTTCAGGATTTCATATTCATACGCATAAGATAATTGGTTGTTAGTTTCCTTGTGCTGTCTTTATCTCATTTTCTAATCAGGATAATACTGGCTTCACAGAATGAATTGCAGAGTATTTCCTCATCTTCTGATTTTTGAAAGCTAGTGAAGAGATAGTACTAATTATTTTTTAAATGTTTTATAGGCCTCACCATGATGGCATCTGGGCATAGGCTTAACTTTCTGGTAATTTTTATTGACAGTGATTTCAGTGTTATGTTATATATTGTTTGTCTTTTGCTTCTTGAGTCAATTTTATTTTATTTCATTTCTTTATTTAGTTTTGTATTTTAGGGAAAGGTCTACAGAGTGTTCAGGGTCTCACTAATAGATCAGACTCATGATTCTCCTGTTTACAGCCTCCCAAGTGCTGGGATTACAGGCGTGACCACGCCCAGTCTCAATCACAGTCTCAGCGCGCCCTGGGGGCGGGGCCAGCACAGCAGGCCCAGGGATTGAACTGCCTGCTCCTGCTCCTGCTTGCAGGTGCTTTAATCTGCTGAGCTATATGGCCGGCCCTTGAGTCAATTTTAGAAGCGTGCATCTTACAGGATCTCACTAAAGCTCAAACTTGCAACCCTCCTGCCTCAGTTTCCCAAAATTCTAGGATAGGATTACAAGCATATGCTACCACAGCTGCAGCTTCATCTCTTTACAAAGTTGAGAAAAGAAAACAAATTTGCAGCTTTGGTCCTTGTAACTTTCTTGTCATTTCTTGATCCTTCATTTATTCCTGTGGATGTAACTTACTATTTGGAGTCCTTTCCTTAGCCTAGTGCAGTTTTGTTGTTGGCAAATATATTATACTTCATTGGTTATAGACTCACCAATATATGCATTTAAAATTATAATAAATTATGCATAATTTAAAATTTACCACATTAGCTATTTTTCTGTTTACTGGCATTAAGTACCTTCACATTATTGTACAACTATTACCCATCTTCTAAACTTTTTCATCTTTTTTTCTCCCCTGTATTTAGGACAGGGTCTCAGATGTAGATCGGACTCAGTGATTGTCCTATTTTCAGCCTCCCAAGTGCTAGGATTACAGGCACGTGCCACCATGCCCAGTCTCCATTGCCCTGTCAGCCAACCCCAAGGGAAGGGCTGGCACAACATGCCTGGGATCAAACTCCGGCCACTATGCTGTGTATAAGCAGGTGCTTTCGTCTGCTGAGCTATCTGGGCAGCCCTGAACTTTTTCATCTTGCAAAAGTGAAACTGCACCTGTTAAACAGTATGGGGTATGATAAAAATATGGTAATTGTTTATTTTTTAAATTTGATTTTTTTTTTTAATGTATTTGACACAGGGTCTCACTACACAGCTCAGACTCAGTGGTTCACCTGTGTTCAGCCTCCCCAGTGTTGGGTTTACAGGCGCCTGTGGGCAGAGCTGGCACAGCACATGGTGCCGGATTGAACCCTGGCCTCTGCATTTGTCTAAGCAGGTGATTAGTCTGCTGAGCTATCTCACTGGCCCTGGTAAATGTTTATTTTTTAAGAAAATTATTACAGTAAAATACATACTCCTATTAATCCTTTTAAAATACTCCATTCACATTGAACGTACTTATCCCATTTTCTTGCCACTTTCTGAAGCAGTTCTAGAAATCCTTTTTGTGAGTGTCTTTAGTTGAATCATGGAAACTGCTTTGATGTCCAGCATCAGTTCAAAACATCTGGGGAAAAGCCAGAAGTTGCATGGTGCCAGGTCCAGTGAATAAGTTTGATGAGGACACTAATATTTTCCTGATCCTTTCTTTCCATTGGATGGTACTAGGAAGTAGCACTCACTGCACTGTGCTGTTTGTTTTGAGAAAGGATCTCTATGTGGTTCAGGCTGGTCTAGATATCACTATGTAGCCAAAGTTGGTCTCAAACTCACAGTATTCCTCTTGCCTCAGCCTCCTGAGTACTGGGAATATAAGCAGGCACTACTATACCCACACTCATCATAAGTTTGATCATTCCTCATTAAGACATGAAAGATTTCCATAATTGTTTCAGAAAGTGACAAGAATGATGGGTTAAGTGTGTTTGAAGCTAGGAGAATGTTCTGAGGATGTTAGTGACAATGTGCCTTTTATTGTAAAACATTTTTTTTTTTACAATTATTTAAGACCTTTATTAACAGGTGCTTGCAGTTTGTTGACTTTTTT